AAATGTATTTCACAGGGCCTAGCTTCCAAAGCCCTGTAGTTTCAGGTATAATCTAAGTTTTTAAAATTACATATAGAAACGTTAAGCTTGAAAAGACAGGAAACTTTCCCCAGGCGAAAGTCTCTGTTGTAGATAAAGAATTGTAACATAGCAAAATTGCTGGCTCAAGGACAGATGTCCTTGGTTAACTTACTGGTATGTTAAGAAAGTTGCTTGTTATGTAAAAATACTAAGGAAATTGCTGTACAAAAAGACAGTATTTGCTAAGAACAAGCTTTTGTTGGTGGATTGACTTAACCTTTTCAATTGCATTATGGAATGTCACTTTGTTTATTTCACTGATGTTATTAGTTTCCATTGTTAAAACTATACTTAGCCATAATTCTGCCCATATCCTTGTGTTCTTTGTAATGATCAAATCAACTGAATTTTCTTGTGAAACTTCCTTGTCTTTACAATAAAAGAGAGAGGCTAACTTTGAATCACTGCTGTCACATTCAGCTTCCTCCTCCTAATGGGGAAATTAATGAAGTGCAGTCCTTCTGGGCCTCTCAATGCATACATAGTGCTTTAAGTAATCGTGTAATTCTTGTTTTTAGTCTCTGTTACAGAGGGGGAATTAACAATTTAACAATTATTTATTGATATTCTACCATATTTCAGACACTGAGGATATAAGGTAAACAAACATGGTTATGAGCTTTTGATTAATTTAAAAGGAATTATATAACAGGAATACCTAATGTAGTTTAGAGAAACTTGAGGAATCTTAAAACATTGGTTTACTTTGGTTTTTTGAACACTCTGAAAAGCTCTCTGAAGTCTAATCCTGATCAACAGGCAATTCTCAAAAGGTAGAATGAAGTGCTCGGGCAAATGTAAAGAAATAAAAATTTTAGTCTAAGATATGCATGAAGATTAATTGAGCAGGAAGACAGAATCATTTTGAATATCAACAGTTTTCTCTCCATTTGTATTTCTCCATGAGATATGAATGAACCCAGAAATACAGGAATAAAACAAAATTGTACATAACCTGTAAGCCCCATAAAGGTAGACTCCTGTTCACCCAGAAGATATGAGACCTATGACAAGAATGATAAGATGTCAGTTTCAAAAATGTGAAAAATCCATTCACTTTTAATATTGAAATAAAGTTTGAAATATTTAAATAATGCTAACATGAAAAGGAGAATGAAATATCAAATTAAAATTAGGAAAAATTTATGCCGTATTGTTTCAGTATTCTTGCTAACATTCATTCCTCTTCCATCATAAAACATTTTTAATTTCATTTTCAGTCATTGTTAATAGTGAATGAAAATACAGTGGGCCGTTATTTAAATAATAATATAGCATGGCAGGAAAACCTCAAATCCTTTACTAGTTCAATTCTCCATTGCAAAGTCACAAAAGGGTCTTCTACAAATTCCAAGATTTTGTTATTTTTAAAGGTGTTAATGTTTGGGCAACACAAATTCAACAGTGTAAATAATCAGAATAGAGTCAGTAACTCAGAAGATAGAACATAATAATATTTCAGATTTGGATTTTTACAAACTACAAATATTTAACAAAACCTGTGACTAAGGTTAGCATAGAATATTATGTGAGACAAGGAGTAATTGTCCTTAAATATTTCCTGAAAGCAGTATCATTTCTGATGTTAAAAATTCTATACTCTGCAAAGAACACCATATCACTTTTAATGTCCCACTAANAATAATTTTTCACTATTTATACCCTACCCTTATCTAAATCATTTGGTATACAGTTGATTCAAATGGGAGTCATTCACAGCAATGTACCCTACTTGAGAAAAGATAAAAATAGTTACATTACCTTGCCCCCAAAATGCAAATAAAAATCCCAGAACACAAACAAAACACAACCCACTCACGCTTTATAATTATGAAATATAAGCGGAGTCCCATAAAGTATTAAGTGTATTTTTAAATACTTAACTCATTTTCTTTTTGTTAATAAATTAAAAAATAACAAAGAATAATAAGCTCCTCAAAGTTCTTCTTTTAAAAAGAATGACAAAACATTAAAAAAACCTTTCAAAGAAATTACCTAGCATATTACACTAAAGTTCTCTGGGCTTCAACAATGTCACATCTACCTGGCTAACTGACATCTTCAATTGCTCCAAACCAAACCTGTGACCTTTCTCCCCAAATCTGATCCTCTTTCAGTTTTTCACATCTCAGTGAATGGCACCAAATTCCATTGTGTGTGGCTACCCAAAAACTTGGGTATCATCTTAGACACTTTCCTCTCCTGCATGTGTAAATACTTAATCCATTCAATTCCTCCCACCAAATATCTATAGAATTTGTCTATTTTCTTCATCTCCACCACCAAAACCACTTTAATCTAAGCTATGATTTTTCACAATTGGATTCTTGGAAAAACCTACAAATGGGGGACTCTACATCTCCTTTTGCCTTCTACAATTTTTCTCCAAATTGTGTAGAAGAATAAAACTGGACCCTTAACCATATACCAAAATCAACTCAAAATAGATTAAAGACTTAATATAATAAGTGAACCTATACACTCCTAGAAGGAAACACTCCAGGATATAGGGCTGGGCAAAGACTTTATGAATAAGACCTCAAAAGCACAGGCAACAAACGTAAAGACAAACAAATGGGATTATATCAAACTAAAAAGCTTCTGCACAGCAAAGGAAACAGTCAACAGAGTGAAAAGACAACCTACTGAATGGGAGAAAATATTTTCAGCCTGTGCATCTGATAAGCGATTAATATCCAGAATATACAAGGAACTCCAACAACTTAATAGTAAAAAAAAATACAAATAATTAAAAAAAGGGCAAAGGAGCTGAATAGACATTTCACAAAAGAAGACATATAAATGGTCAACAGGTACAT